TAATCTTAATATAAAAAAAAATTAGTTGAGCTTAACAATTTATTTATAAATGGAATTCATCGTCTAATTAAAAATTTGAATTCTCGTAAACAATTAAAATTACAATTAAACTCCAAAATTCCAATCAATTGTTTCAAACAAATTCATTCAATTCAACATTTATTATTCATCCATTTAATTTGTTAATTCCATAACATTTTTTTTTTTCAATTCACCGAATTTTCTCTTCAGGTAGATCGATAGTTTTTCCATTATAATTTCCGTTCGCGGAATATCTGAATCGAGATGATGCCAGTCGATTAAAAGCATGTCATGTTGAGAATTCAATGATGTTGTGCGTCTTGTGTTGTGAAAGAGATAAAAGATAAGAGGGAAAATTACTTATCTCGTAATCTAAAACGAATGTCTTCGACAATTTCCCGAGGGGTTTTCTCCGCTTTTTCCGCTACGTTTTGTCACGACCCCACTTGAACGACAATATCCCCTTGTTACATCGGAAAAACACTCGTATTTCTGGGTCGAGGTCGATAGAGTAACAGGTCCTACCAGTTTTTAGTTTTCTCCCCAGATTTATCAAAGTTTATTAAAAAAAAAATAAATCCAAAGTTGAAATTCCTCCAACAATTCAATAATTAAATTCACTCCAACCTCCAATAACGACCCATTCACATCGATTATTAATTACAATTATAATTGCTCCTTCCAATAATATTATAATAATTATTAAAATGATTAATTATGAACTATCTGCGTAATTACTCCATCCGAATTTCCAAAAATTGTTCAACGAATGTTGAATGAATTTTTTATTTATCAGACACAAATCCAAGATTTCAATCGTTCGCCTAAAATTATTGATTATTATTAATTATCAATACTTTCCCGTCATTTTTCTATCGATATATTTCTCGAGTTAACGACCGATCGCGGAAGAAATAGAGGATTAAAAAATCCTCATCACAAAAGAATGTATTTTTCACACTGAAATGCCATGTGCTACTTTGCTTACTCGTGTGAAAGCCGAGAAACTGTTGCGTGTATTGCGTGTGAAACGCACCGGATGATGTTTCCAATTCATTCGTTTACAAGAAAGAAAAATAAAAAATTCATTCACGTTAAAAAATTTTTATGGTACCCCTCCCACTGCGCTAACCAGAACGAATGGAAACGAGGAAAAACGGCAAATAAAACACAATTAGCGAAATCACAGTTGACTGGCAGTGCTATCAATTAGTTTAATCGAATCCCGTTGGAAATTGGGTGTATCGGTGTCGGCTATTTGTCGGATTTAAACAATTAAACAGTGATGCTTTTTGAAAATAATCGGCATCGGCTTATATCTGTGTTTCATTGATACCCGAGAAATCGATTCTCCAAACCAAATGGGAATCGACGGGGCGCAAACTACTGGCTTTAAGCCGGGGATTACCCGAGATCATCTGAATAATTACCCTGTGACGTATTTTAGGGGAGAGGGATAAATGCTCGTGTAAATTACACCGGTATTTATTGATCATTTCCATTCGATTTATTTTCAATATAAAATTCTTCCGCATTACTCAAATATTTATTCGCAATTCAATATTTCAATCAACGTCTATTTAATTAACGTGATTGCCGACTTACTCCGTTCCATAATTGTATTTATTTTGTGGATGCGTGCTCCTTCGATGTTGAACTTTTCATTGCGACTTACGCACGAGAAATAACGTCAAGCGATTGAGAAGTTTTCTGAAACCAAGTATCACATTACCTCAAACGTATTCTGGTTTCATGTAAGAATGCGAACAACTCCACGGCCCTGATATTTTCATTCTGTCAAGTACTAACGACTGTACTAACTCCATGCGATAATTATTTCCCACCCAAGACTATTCTAAATATTTTAAATTTCGCGCGATGACGTTTACTTATACCGATAACGCACACGTATCAACCAGCGATATATAATCTAAAATCCCGATCT